AACCTAACAGCAAATTCCTGCCTCAGGGAACTTACAGTCTCCTGGGAAGTATGACAGTAAGGCAGTCTGAGTCTGCTTCATGAGGAGGAAACAACAAGTTCTGTCAAAGCTGAGGTATGGGCTGAAATGATCAGAGAAGAAATTCTAAGTGATGGTGAATACTTACAGAATAAAGTGGGGGAAGTATGGAAAGAGAAGGAGGTTCAGTGTGTTTAAAGATGTGTAATTAGGAACGGGCAAGGTTTTGTGGGCAACCACCAGACACACCATGTTCGTTTGGATGGAAACATTTGCATATGGCAAGGTTGAAAAGTGGATGAGAAAAGATGGTAAGTTTTTATGGTTAGATTGAGGTTCTGACCTACTGACAAAGGAGTCTCAGCTAATGTTTAAAGAGGGAAATGATGTGGTATGTAGAGTACCTTGTATAGGGGCAGCGGTTAGTGGGTGGAATACTAGGACAGGAAGGGATGGAGTCCATGCTGGAAGGCCTGGAGATGGAGAGGTGTTGACAGCGACCTAAGATACTGAACAAGAATCCATACAGCTTGGGGATTGGTTGGGAAGGTGACTTGTATATTCTGAATGACTTAAAAGATGTTCATTGGGATGTCATTCATTTTATAAACAGAAGGATATAAAAAAGGTATCTGGTTTGCATGTTTTAAATTTTGAGTGATGATGGGTCCAATATTTGGAAATGTTGCAGATAAGAGAAGTTTCAGACAACACTAAAAATACAGATTAGTTAGCAGTAAATTGGCAGGTGACCTTGGTATTCTTCCTTCTTTTTGTTTTATTGAGCCAACACAATTTCTCAGTGGGTTATAAATAGAATGCCATTTTATCATTTAAAGTGGGATTTTGGGGGGAGTAAATATGAGTAATTACACTGGGATCCATGGCATAAAACTGAGGCTGTCCAGAGCAGAGCAGGATGCACAGACTCTAGTTTATAAACTCTACCTTAATTCTAGAGGACGGGAAATTGCCATTTCTTATTATTAGTCTTCAAAAAGTTTTCAAAAAGAGCCAAGTGATTCAATCACTGTCACTTTATTGTGATTTGGATCCAGTCTGGGCCAAGGAACAAGAACAAGTTGTAACATCTGGGGGAAAAAAAAGAGAGAGAGGACAAAGCAGCCCATGTCATGCAACATGTCCCCATTGCCTGGGTGGAGGCCCTAATGCTAGGGAAGTGTGGCAGTTTTATATTGAGGGAAGACGAGAGTTACTCTGGCTTGGCACTGAAACTTAGGATGCAAGGTCCCAGATAAAGTATCATTTTACCAGAGTTGCCTCTGAAGATAGGGGATAGCATACATGTGTGGTGAGTGGAAAAAATGCATTTTTTTGCGTGTGTATGTGTATGTATGTGTGTATACATATGCTAAGTAGGGAAAGAGTTTTCTTTATCCTGTAGCTGCAATTTGTTTTGAAGCCGTTACTGCATATACAGGGTAACAGAAAGGAAATGAGACCTTGTCAGACTTAAAAAGATGATATATTGTTAGTGGCTATTGCATATGCCTTATAGAATAAAGGAAATGAGTAATTACTTGCCATCACTGGGAACTTGGGTTTGGGGCATGAAAGAAAGAAAAAGTTAGTCAAGAAAAAAATCTCTCTTGTTCTAAATTTGAATTAGTAGTATCAGTACCAATGCTGAATGTATTTCTTTAAAAAAATAAATACATAAATTTCCATTTCTGGCTTCTGAAAAGGCCTGGCAACAACCACCTCTAGTACTCAGAAAATGGTTTTTAAATCTCTCTCTACTCCAAAGAGTTAGGGCTGTCTGGAAGTGTGGCAGTTCCATATCTGGAGAAATGGCTGATCCATATCTGAACAAGGACTATACAGCATGGCTGGCCTGCAACATGTCTATGGAAAAACAGGCAAGGCATCCACACCAAAGCGAACAGCAAAGAGCTAAGTGTGGTGGCACATGCCTGCAATTCCAGTGACTCAGAAGGCTGAGCCAGGAGTATCACAAGTTCAAGACCAGCCTCAGCATCTGAGAGAGACTCTGTGTAAAAATAAAAATTAAAAGGGCTGGGAATGTGGCTTAGTAGTTAAGCACCCCTGGATTCAATTTTAGGTACTCCCCCAACACCACAAAAAAAAAAAAAAAGGAAAGAAAAGTAAGAAATAGGAATAGATCCACACACCAAACTCGTGAATGTCTCAAAACTACTAACACATGAGAAATATATAAATTTAGTAGTTCATAATATTTAAGAAAACAACCCTTATCAATCACATGCAGATAATTAATCTTTAAAAAACTGATATACAGGCAAAGAAGCATTTATCTTGCCTTTGCTATAATAACTATTTGTACTTCAAGATAATTAAAAATATATACTTCAGATAATGAAATTTCTTCTTAGAAAAAGTCTTTAAACCAGAGTAAAATTAAACTTCCAGATCTAACTACCAACTTGTAGAAAACACAGGAAATAGGAGAATACAATCAAGCAAAACATCTAGTCCAGGGAGGAACTCTATGGGGTAAATGATCTGGTTGTCAAGGAGGAATTATAAGAAGGAAAACAGGGTGGGACGAGGGGGTGGAAGGGTAAGAGATGGGGTGGGGACATGCAAGGGGAAGAAATCTCTACTTTGAACCAATGAATCAACAGAAATGCACAGGTCTAATTTGATCCAGGTTTTTAAAAATAAACTGTAAAAATGAAACCATTTATGAGATAGAGGAAAACATTTGGACATTTAACAAAACAGAATTATTATTAATTTAACTGAGTTAATGATATCATTTTTAAAAAAGAATACTTATCTTTTAGCCATGGTATCATTTCAGTCAGAATTACTCCAGCCTATATTATTTCCAAATTATTTGGGGATAAGGAGGAAGTTAGGTATGTGGATAAAACAAGATTAGCCAAGCACCAATAATCCTTTAAACTGGGTCACAGTGCCTGGGAGCCACTGTATTATTTTCTCTGTTTACATGTTAACGTTTAAAATAACAAATGATAAAGACTCAGGGAATATTGAAAAACTAGTGAAGGGCTGAAAAGCTTCATTGGAATAAAAATAATTTTTCCTTCAAATATCAAAATACTTTGGCATACATGGTCAACTCTGAATGTCAATAAAAAGGAAGTGGGCTGGGGTTGTGGCTCAGTGGTGGAGCGCTCGCCTAGCATGCGTGAGGCACTGGGTTCGATCCCTAGCACCACATAAATGTAAAATAAAGATATTGTTTCCACCTAAAACTTAAAAATAAATATTAAAAAAAAATGAAGCTGGGATGGTGATGAGTGCCTATTATCCCAGGAGCTTGATGCAAGAAGATCACAAGTTCAAAGCCAGTCTCAGCAACTTAATGAGGCCCTGAGCAACTTATCAAGAACCTGTGTCAAAATAAAAAAACAGGAAGGAAGGAAGGGAGGAAGGGAGGAAGGGAGGAAGGAAGGAAGGAAGGGTGTGTGTTGGGGGTCTGGGGATGTAGCTCAGCGGTTAAGCATCCCTGGGTTCAATCCCTGGTACACCCTTCCAAAAAAAAGTAAGTAAGAAAGAAAATACTACTTTATAATATAGAGAATATTGACACAGATTGAAATGGAAGGAGTCTTTACTGACAGATCCAAGTCACAAGTCCATCAAACCTCATGCCTTATGAAATAAAAAATAAGCTTGGTAGCAGTGAGAAAATGAGTGTTTTAGATGCAGGGATCCAACCTAACAGAAATGTATAGATCCTAAAAGTTTCATGGAAAAACACTCTTCCTGCTTGATCATATTTAATAAGCCTTAAGAGAATAATGAGGCTTTTAATGACACTATCCATTTTTGCTTGTGCTAGAACAGTCAATATACAATATGAAAAAATACAAATGAATACTCATAAATACTAAAATAGATAGTTTTGTATTTTGTAGTATACCTATATCTGCTCAGTCCCTCACCCACCCCCTCCCAAGCCTAGTCATAAACTTGCTGGTTTTGACAAGCAGATCACAAATAGAACAGGTGCCTTTATTAGTGCTGTAGGTAAATTCTGGCACCTGCTTGGCACCAGCTGTGTGTTAATTAGTCTTGTGATGGCCTACATCACCAAATATTTCAAGATTGGAAATGCTCCCTCAAGCTTCCAGAGGAATGTGTCTGCATGTTGGCTGACAGATGCCCCTGGAGAGAGAACAGCCCTTTTCCTAAAAGTCTCTTATGGTGAGTTCTGCCAGATGCAAAATAAGAACTGGCTACACAAAACATTTGCTCAGTGAGTCAGTTCAGGGAATGAGGGTGGAGGGTGCTTTTGGGGATAAACAGCAAGAAACTCACCAGTGGAATGATGCTGACCCAGACACATATTGAGTGTCTGGTCATATGTCTGAGTTCCATCCCCCCCCTCCTTTTTTTTTGTCCAGTACCAGGGATTGAATCCAGGGGTGATTAACCACTGACCCCACATCCTGAGCCCTTTTTATATTTTATTTAGAGACAGAGTCTTGCTGAGTTGCTTAGGGCCTCACTAAGTTGCTAAGGTTAGATTTGAACTCACAATCCTCCTGCCCAGACTCCCCAGCCACTGGGATAACAGGCTTGGCCACCACGCCCACCTGTCATCTTTTGATCAAGTAACAGTCCAGCCATGACATCTGAACCCTGCTTTCCAATGGACTTCCACAGTTTACTTGTGTGGCTTTCCATTTGATCCTTCAATTATATTTAAGCAAACAAAAGTAATAGAATTGATTCACTGCTTCTAGTCATAACAGATGAACTGGACTACACCACATGAACAATTTGGACAGGGAAGGAGATGGCCTGAGAATTCTCAAAATTAGAGATGGAGTATATCATGGCAAATATGGTTGCAATGAAAGCTTTCTCTCTGGACAACGCTTGGTGTCCACAGTGTATTCAATACTAAAAAATATCAAATATGAAATAAGATGCTCAATTATTGCTTTCTTTCAGCAAGTCTGATGACATGGGTGGATGTTATTAGATAATAAAAAAAATCCTACCTGAAGACTGCAAGAGTCAGAGACCAGAGCACTAATGGCTTCCTCAGTTCAAACTTCGCCCGTTTGTTCATTAGGTGCCGACCACCAAAGATAAAGGCAGCATACAGAGCAGAAAACAGGAAAGATTTCTTCCTATAAACAAATAAATAAGTTAAGACTCATGAACAAAATTCCTCAAGCAAATTATTTTTATCCCTTAGGAAACAGCTTTTGTACCAGTTTCCTTCCTTTGTAAGTTCGAAGAACTTACCCCCTTCCCTGAAAACTTGCCCCCTTCCCTGAAAAGGAACCTCAGTCTACTTGGACACCTGGTGTTCTGTTGGACCTCCCTAGACCAACTGTCATCCAACAGATTGACCAATGTAGTAAGTATCATGTCAACGTGGTGGTATTCTCTTTTCCGACTCAGTGATGAAAAGTTTCAACAATATAAGTTTGAGGAATAAAAAACAATCTTTTCAAGGGCTGGGGTTGTGGCTGAGCGGTGGAGTGCTTGCCTAGTATGGGTAGTGAGCCTCAGCATCACACAAAAATAAATAAAATAAAATTTTTTAAAAAAGCAATCTTTTCAATGAAAAATTAATTTTATGCTTTAGAGTTTGTTGAGCTAGTTTTAGATGGATTTTTACAAGAATTGTTTTTATTGAAAATATTTGATAACCAGGGTTGTATGGGACAAGAAAGTCATTTAAAACTGCTTTTTTCCTAGTAGAATATAGTATTAAAAATAACCTTGGAGTAATCATTGATGATTTAAAAGTCATTAATGATTTGAAACACTAAAATACAAGTTACATGACTTATGGCTACCCCAACATGGATTCCTGAAACCCTCTGCATCAAAAAAGACATGTATTAAATTCTAATATATCATTAATAAATGCATAATGGTCAGATACACAACACAACTGGAAGAACACAGAACCATCTATGATACATCTTGCTTCAAAGTTTGAACTTGAATTTAACCAAATCTCTTATCTGATTACTTGTTCATAAAATAAAAGGGGTAAATCTAAACTGTGTGACATTCTGCAAGACAAAATGAACATATTTTGTCAAGTTGTAGTACGGAATAAAAATTTAAGACTCTTCTAGATTAAATTAATTTGAGAGACATAATAATCAAATACAATATGTAGAACTTTTTGGACCATGGTTTGCAATAAAATCAAATATTAGGCATAATTTTTAAAGTACTTATCAGCTATTGGTTAACACTGAAACATTTGTGAATATAATTCATGTTTTATATTTGGTTTAAAATACCCCAGGAAACCAACAGAACCAAAAATATATGAAGATTGAGGAAAGGGGATGAAGCATGGGGGCTCATTATTCTTTCTCTTCTCTCTCTCAAGTATGTGTGTATACATACACACATAAATAGTTAAAAACATTCCATAATTTTTTTAAAAGGATGATTTATTGTGGAAGAAAATATCTGCATGAATAATTATTTAAAGCATCTAATAGGACAACATCTCAACATGTTTGTTCACTGTTGGAATTGCTTTTTTGACCCACAGACTTTTTATGAGACTGTTAGTTGGAAATATATAAGCAAGACAAAGTAGAATTTTTCAGGTCCCTATGAGCCTGCTGATTTATTTCTGTATAAAGTAAAAGTGAACAGCAATACTAATAATGCCAAAAAAAAAAAAAAAATCAACAATCTTCTGTAGAACTATGATTCAACAGAAAGCAATAGAAGGCTTGTAAATAATTAAACATTTGAACACACTTCCTGAGGCAGCAGTGTTTCTCTTAAAATGGGTATTCCCTACTCAATTAGATCAACAGGAAAAGCACTGAAAAATAAGACACGAGACTCAATACCAAAAGCAAAATGCGTTAACCTAAAGAGTATTATTTGTAAAATGCTTCATATGCTATTTCCCTAATTGCTGGCATGCATTGCTGACTCACAAGACATCTTATTATTAAACAAGCAGCATTTCTACTTAAATGCAATTGACCTGCTTGGTGAACACCAAAAAATAAAGCAATGATTCCAGGAATCAACCCATTAAATAAATATTGAATAAATCACTTCCACCGAGGTGGGCATACTCTGGGACACACAAGATGTGGCACACAGTAGATGCTTAATAAATACTTGTTGAATGAATATGGTCCTGTGCTATCAAATTTTCTGATGGGGAGGATAATTTTGAATCTGTGACAATAGAAGCTCAGCAAACACCAAGTGAACAGTTAGTGGACATTCAAAGTTGTAGTTCCCCAGTATATATTGATAACAAATGAATAATAAAAATATCCCCCCAAAAAATCATGATACATTTTCTTGCTCTAGAAAGGAAGAGACTATTTCTATACTTCAATAAGAAATAGAAAGGTGAGACGATTTTAAGGAAACTTTTAACAATTGAACATTTAAAGAAGAAAATAATTTTGGCTATATATAGAGTGTGATCTCTATATCAGTATATTTCTCTTCTGAAATTTGCAAGAAGGGGATTAAATTACTTAAAGAGTTAGAATCATTGTTTCTATTACACTCATATAAAGTGCAATATATATGTAAAAAACAATACACACATTTAAAGCTCACACATAAGCAAAGACTCACTAAAAAAATAAAAACCTACTATATTAATGTAGGCAATAGTAGCAAGAAATAGTATAATTCATTTTTCTAAGTCAAAAAGGTAATAAATGACTATAATCACAGTGTTCTAACTTATTAATTCAAACAGGTAGATATGCTAAAGGGCTTTGTCACTTAATCCTCCTAATCACCTCACCATGTAGGGAAGGTATTATCTTCATTTTCATAAAGAAATAGGCTTAGAGGGCAAGTAACCCCAGATTTTCCTGCTCTCCTGTGATAAACTTTCAGGAAAAAATGGGGCACACTTGGTGTGTTATCTTCTAAGTATATAAGTATCCTTTCAGCCCTTCTGCTGAATTTACACCCTCTCTGTGCCACTGAGTAAAAAATTGTTCAGCAGTGAAAAGATGAAGAATTTCCCATCCTAATGTTCCAGCGCTCATATTTTCTGGGCTTGGAACACTTTTATCCAAACCCTTTTTACCTCCTGGAGAACACTGAAAACATTTCCTTATAATTACTTATCATTATTTCCCTGACTCACTCAATATAATTCAGATTTGGGTCATGATTGTACATATTCATTGTAATACTTGCAATTATGCACCAATAAATGTAAATGAATGACACTCCTATCCTGCTAGCTGGTAAGGGGAAAATGTGCCTCAAGAATCAAGACAAGAATAAAAATCTTCACTCTAATGTTTCTCTGATTTCCTTACTTCTAGAAGGAGAATTAGTCCTAAAGCACAGCTAAATTCTCCATAAGTCCCATTCTCTTTTGTACAGGTTTTTTAAAACTCTCTTTAAAAATCATCAACTCAACATCTAGGGCGGCCAAAACAGCAACACAGAATTTAAAAATAAAAGAGATTTTTAGGAGCAAAGCCCAAGAGCTTTATTCTACAAAAGAATACATCTGATATTCATAGTCACAGAGGTGCATACTGTACAAAGATAAAGAGTGCCCCAAATTTTCATGATTCTGATTAAGCAGGTGGGCAAACAGAAATTAACTATATAGGCTATATTTGGGTCCCAGGCAGTCAATAATGGAAAACATGTTTAAGAGCTATCATTAAAATAAGTTGCTATCGTAGCTAAACTATGCCCTTCAATAGATGAATGGATAAAGAAACTGAGGTACATATACACAATGGAATATTACTCAGCATTAAAAGAGAATAAAATTATGGCTTTTTCAGTAAATGGATGGAGTTGGAGAATATCATGCTAAGCCAATCTCCCCAAAACCAAAGGCCGAATGTCCTCTCTGATAAGTGGCTGCTGATCCATATGGGGGGAGGGCATGGGAAAAATGGAGGAACTTTGGGCAAAGGGGAGGGAGAGAAAAGGAGGGGATATGGAAGCAGGAAAGATGGTGAAATGAAATGGACATTATTACCCCAGGTACTGGTATGACTGCACATATGGTGTGACACTACATCATGTACAACCAGAGAAATGAAAAGTTGTGCTGCAATTGTGTACAATGAATCAAAATGCATTCTGCTGTCATATATACCTAATTAAAATAAATACTTATTAAAAAATTAGTTGCTATTGTACAATATGTAACTCTTCTACAGGGGCAAAATCCAAGCAATGCTTTGAGTGAGTTTAGAATTAAACCTAAGCTTTCTCAATAAGAGGAAATTACCTAAGGAAGTATTAGCTCTAAATTCTTCAAGTGAGTAATCAAAATGTATCACTTATGGCAGAATGTATTATTTTTCCATTTTGCTTAGAAGATTTTCTTCAGCAAGCTAGGCAATTTAAGTGAATTAAAATTGCTTTTTTCTTTCTGGCATCTCTCTGGTAAAGTTCAATTATAGTCAAGATGAATAATGACTTGCTATTAGCCTACTTAGTGTTTAATGTGGATAGATTATTTCCCTGACACTTCGATGGTAATCCAGTAATACTTGCTATTCTGGCAGGGATACATATCTGGGAACAATAGTGATACTATACTGCTTTATTACCAAATAATGAATAACTTTTAGATGGCATGGATTTGTCTTGCTTAATACATTTTAAATGTATATCATATGGCACAACCTATAACTCTAGGTACTTAATAAGTACTTTTGAGGATGGTGATTCTGAAGTTGGTTACCAGGTAACCAAATAAAGATAACACAAATGAAATACTAATGTGTTTTGAGATTGTGGCGTTTGCATTGAACTTTTTTTCTCCTTCGATTTTTGTCATCAATAATGAAAAACATGAATAATACTAGCTATTAGTCCATGATGACTAAAAACAAATTGTGGCTTTATCCTTAGAGATAAATGTTCCAAAGCATTCCTGGAGGTGCTTTCTGATTCCTACCAGAGTAACTGCAAAAGTCTGTGCACATGCTTGTATTGAGTGCTCTACCAGGGACACGTCTGAAAGATCAAGTATAAATTCAATTTTTTTTTTCAACTTGTGCGATTACCCTGAAACTAATACTTAGCTTGAATCTCCCTGGTACTCAACATCAAGATCTCTGACAGCTAAATTGAACTCCTGTGAGAATCCAAAAAGGCCATTTGCCAGTGAAGAAACTTT